TCAGAAAGAGAAATCAAACCCTCATTACTGGTGATGATACAAATCCTGCACTACCTTAAGGACCCTAAACAATGCGAATTAGGGTTAGGGTTTAGGGGTTAGGGTTTAGGGTTTAGGAGGTTTAGGGGTTAGGGGTTTAGGGTTTACAGGGTTTAGGGTTTAATACCCTACCCTTTTTCAGGTACCTAGTGTTATGGTTCGGATCTGTTATGTAAAACATAGGAACCCTAAAAAAGGGGTAGGGGATGAGCCTACATGTACTGCTGGTGACTCAGACCCCTGTGATTTAGGGTTTATAGGGTTTCTAGGGTATAGGGATCCCCTAATTTTGAGGACCCTGCATTACAAAAGCGTATTTTACAGGAACCTGCTTTCAAGGATCCTCGCAACGGTCTGGCTAAGGGGGAATAGAAGGCACTACTTTGAGGCTACGGGATCATAATCAATATGGGGCCTATCATAGGCATCCACTCACCCCGGCAGAAGCACGAGTAAATCATACTTAGATTAGACCTCTTTGACGGCTTCTTTTTAGGAGGCTCTGTAAGGAACCCTATATGGAATGATACTCGTATTTATTCATCCCTATGTTACGGACAGTGTTTTTGTCATTGTCGTTTGGGCGTTAGGGGTCGGGTTTGCTATTGCTAGTACTGGGGTTTTGAGGTTTCGGGGATTTTGGTTCAGCATTTTGGGCGTTTGTAGGTTTTGTCGTCAAGGACCCTAAACCCTAAACCTAAACCCAAGGCCCTATCGGGTATGCGGGTTCCAATTAGCGTCCTGGCGCCCGCTGTCAGCTACAGATAACAAACTGAAAGCTCTGATATCAGAGGCTGTCGATCGTGTCTCAGACCTTCTTGGGGTGGAGGACCCACAATCCTTCAGGCCTCAATTTGGAGGCCCGAGGTTCAGCGTTTAGGGTAGGGCTTGGGGTTGAAGTTTAGAGTGTAGACTTGAGGTTCGGGCGTCTGATGCCCAAAAGCTTGCTCAACTCGCCTATTGCCTTCGTGTTCGGGTGCGGCAAAGGGAGGGTAGGGACACTCCCCTGCTCCGTTGCGATTGTCCATGCGAGCCAAAAGCCTGAGACCTGTCAGCCTAAACTATTCCAAGGTATGCAGCCAAGGCGCTTGAAGAGGGTTGCCGGTAGCTTTCTTCTCCTCGGATCTGATTATGTGGGTTTTTTTTGTCGGTCTAGCTTTTGGTGGGTTTGCTGTTTAAGGTGTGGGGCGTGCGCCTCGGATCTTTGCAACCAAAGCCTCCGTCGCTGCAGAAGGCCCTCTCGGGAGGGTGCCGTGGCCGCCATGGCGTCACAAGCGGTCAGCAAGGGTGCTCTGGAGCCTATAGACCATAAAACCACAAACCTTGAACCTTACCATGGAACCGTAAACAGCGGGAGTTCATCATGCACTGCTTTCCAGGTAGGTAATCACAACGAAGAGACTCAAGAACATGGATTGATCATCCATGTGACCTGTTGGGTTGAGGGCTGCATCTAAATCGTTATCCCTCTGCAGAGCCCACGTTCCGGCGCCCACGATCGTAGACTGCTCCTAGGCCTTGACTGGTGGCTAATACTTGCAAGGCCTACACACGTCGGCACCCCTGACTGTAGAAGTTGGGGCATCATGCAGGGGTCGTCATCATGGCACGTGAGAACAACTTCCGCATGAAATGACAATAACAACGCAACGCACTACTGCCAGAGTAGTCATGTCTCCGGCATATGTCATAGTAAACACTCAGACGCAAGATCAACGACACCAGCCACGACGATGTCATGGAGCATGCTGCGATGGCAGTGGTAGTTGTGTTGGCAGTGGTGTTGATAGTGTAGTGGTAGTGGTAGTGGTAGTGGTAGTGGTAGTGGTAGTGGTAGTGGTAGTGGTAGTGGTAGTGGTAGTGGTAGTAGTGGTGGTAGTAGTAGTGGTGGCAGTAGTAGCAGTAG